CAGTCAGACTCTTTAGTATGCTATTGAAATATGTTGTATTTTTTTGGATGAGTCTCTGACTGGTTTGTGGTACTTGGGACCCTTGAAAGAATGTGTGCTATAGTAAAAGCAAAGAACTTTTAAAAAATGTATCCCCTGGGCCTAAGATTGTTTATTGTAGTTAATCTGAATTTGCTACCTTTGTGTTGTTTTTGTTTACATTATGGTAGGCATTGCTTATATGTTATTTACTTTTATTTACTTTGCTGGCATAAATTTGTAAATGTCTTCTGGTGTATAAATTACTCATATTTGTAATTACATACATGTATTCCATGACATTGATACACCACAATTTATTCGACCACTCACTGGTCAATGGATACTCATTTTGCTTCCTCTTCCCCCCTCTACCCCAAAATCTGACCATAAGTATTTTTATATCCATGGGATCTTTCCCACATTTTTTTCTTCTTTTTGTCCTCAACCTTAGTATATATGCCTAGCAATAGAATGTCTGGGTCAAAAGATATGGATATTTCAGTTACTTTCTTTACCTAATTCTTAATTACTTTCCAGAATGGTTAGACCAATTTCCAGCTACATCAGCAACCCATTAGTTTGCCTATCTTTCCACAACACCTCCAAACATTTACTATTCCCATCTTTTGTCATCTTTGCTACTTATTTTTTGTATGAGATAAAACCTCATGCTTGGTTGTTTTGATTTTCATTCTTTTATAATTGGTGATTTAGATCATTCTTTCAAATAGTTGTCAGCAGATTGCAGTTTTTTTGAGAACTAGTTGTTCATATCCTTTGACCATATCCTTTGACCATCATCCGTTAATTTAATGACTCGATCTTATATAGTTGTTAATTTTCTATAAATCTTGAGTAGTAGTCTCTTATTAAAGATATTTATACAGAGATTTTTTTTCACAATTGACTTCATTCTTTTGCAAGTTGTTTTAATTTTGTTCATTCATTGTCCTCAATTTCATGTAATCTCAATTAAAGAGTTTATATGTTGTAATTGCCTCTCTCTATATATGCATGTCTTATATATTAAAATTTCCCCCTTCTTTCCACAATTACAATATGAGTTCCTTAAGTGTATGGACAATTATTTTTTTTTTTATTTTTTTATTGCTTTTTTTTTCCAGTGGCCAGTGCTTAACACAGTGTCTGGCACATAGTAAGCACTTAATAAATACATATTGACCGTTTTTAAGAATTTACTTTCTAACATAGCTGTGCAATATATCTCTTGTAGTTTTCTTTTTTATAGTATCATGTTTAATATTCAGAATGTATATTCATTTTGAGTTTATTGTGGTGTGTGGTATAAGATGTTCATCTACATCTAATTTCTGCCAGACTGCTTTCTGGTTTTCTCAACAGTTGTTGTCAAATAGAGAGTTCTTCCTCAAGTAATTTATGTTACTGCATTTTATAGATACTGGGTTACTATTGTTTTATTATTTCAGATTGTTTCTAGTCCGATGTGTTCCATTGGACCGCTTTGTTTTTTAACATGTTCCAGGTAGTGTTGTCTTTATAATACAGTTTGAGGTCTGGAAAGTGTTGTTTTTTTTTTCCAATCTTTTGTTTCCTTGTTGCATGTGACCAGTAGTACTATCTCTGGGCCAAAGGGTACTTACATTTTAGTGACTTTTCTAAATTTTTCCTAGGAATAGTTAGATTACATCTCTACTCATCATTTATTAATGTCTTTTCACAACCCTTTGAACCTTGACTATTTTTTTCTTTTATCATCTTTGCCATTGTGAGTTTTTCCCTTTTATTCTTCTGCTACTACTTTAGGAATGAAAGGAGTATACTCATTGAGGACTAAAAGCAATTTTTAAGAAATAATTCCTTCCTATAGCCATAGTATTCATTTCCGACTGGCGATGAGCCTCCCCATGTGTAACTGGACTGAGTGGTCCTCAGAAAGCAGACATAATTTGTTGCTAGGCTTGTCCCTGAAGAGTTTCCGGCATGATCAAACCTTCAAGAGTCTGTACTCTACTGGTCTAGTCCTCAAAAATACAGGGTAGCCTCCATGTCTAGATGAAGCATTGGAGTCAGAATTTTATGGAGGATTAGGAGTAAAAACAATTCTGAATCTTGAAGGTTGTATCTGGCAGAAACTTTGCCCACATCCATAAAACAACCACTTTCATGTCAGTTATTCTTGGAAGTGCATTTCTATCAAGTAATTGTGCATTTTTCCAAATTCATGAATTAAACTAAACTTATGGGTTAAAATCATACTAAAGCATTGAAAAAGTAGAATGTCTAAACGTGGGCACTTTATTAGATCTGTTAATTTGAAAATTGTGTCTTGTTTTCAAAAGTTATATTCTTATTTTAGGATTGTCTATGCCCTGAATTTTAGATTTCCATGCTCTTCATACTTTTAGCCACATTAGGGGTATTTTCAAATATGTAAAATTTATCCAACATTTACCAATCTTTTTCACAGTCTGATGAATATAAGGTGAAGTGTTAGTTGTTTTGATTCTCTTTTAATGATTTGGGACATTTTTATGTGGTTGTTGATACTTATGATTTTCACCTTTGAGAACTGCCCTTCATATCCTTTGGCTTTTTAATCTGTCAGGGAATTGTCCATTTTTCTTATGTATTTGTATAATTCCTGTCTGTAGTTTGAATGAGAGATCTTTTTCAGTGATGTTTGCTATGAAGATTTTTTTTTTCTATTGAACACCTTCTCTTCTACTTGCATTTCATTTTGTTTTTGCAAAAGAGTGGTGCAGTTAGCTTGAAGAGAGATGTGGTTTATTTTTTTTTTAGTTTTTATTTTTTTTAGGCAATTGGGGTTAGGTGACTGCCCAGGGTCACACAGCTAGTAAGTGTCAAGTGTTTGGTCTGAGGCCGGATTTGAACTCACGTCCTCCTGACTTCAGGGCTGGTGCTCTATCCATTGTGCCACCTAGCTGCCCCAAGAGAGATGTCGTTTAGAACAAATACTGAGGCAAGTGCAGTAGATAGGCAACTAGAGAAAAGCAAAAGGATTATAATGCAGCACTAGTGGCTCATTTGAGATTATATAACATAAGTCTGTAGTGGTCTCAGCATAAATGCATAACCTCATTTACAGCATTCAGTAGAAAGAAGTTGAGAAGAGGATGATGGGATATCATGTCACAGGGTTCAGGTTCAATAAGATGGTGGCTGAAGAGGAGTGAAAGTACAATCATGGAAATTGAGGCAGTTGCTGAGTTGGAAAGTCAAACTACTTGACTTTAGTGAAGTACTAAACATAGTACCGAAGCTCTCAAGTAGAAAGAGACAGAGTTTGGGGTGAAGAGTAAGTCTATGTACTAAGTAGTAAAGTCTGAGAAAGAAAAAATAGTTGAGGGAATCATAGATAGCTGTCACAAAAATCTGAATGGAGTGAACCTTAAAGGAGGAAAAGTTGCTGAGTAACGGTTTCAGGAAAAGTGTCTGAATGTGTCACTGAGTAGTAAGGAAATATCTGTTTTTCATCCTGGATCAATGTATTGAAGGTGTTGAAAATTCTATACTATGTGTTTTGAGCATAAGCTTAAATTAATAGAAGCAATTTTTATTAATTTTGATAAACCTAATTCTAAATATTACTGCTTAGAGATGTCCAAAGACCTAACTCAAGCCTCTGAAGATCTCCTCACACAAGCCATTTTAGACTTGCAGTTTATAATTCATTCAAAAAAATAGACATTTAACAGTCGTGATAGAGTGCAGCATCAATTTAGGTAACAGTTCAAGTGAGTTTGCTTCATCAAACACAACAGTAATCACTTGACTTTTGGCACATCCTAGAGCAGATGTCCTTAATTTGGGGTACCTAAAACTTTTTTAAAATTTTTTTATAATTGTGTTGAAAATTCTATACTACGTGTTTTGAGCACAAGCTTGAATTAATAAATTAATAAAACTACTTTGAAAAATCAGCACTATTAATCTAGTGGAAATTTCTTTTAATGAAAACATCAAACTCCTAAATAATCTTAAATTCACTTTTAAAAGGCACCTCTCAGAGGGGTAAAGTTCCCTTGTGTATAGGAAAATGATAGCATATGAGAGGAAAAGGAATTGTTTAACAATATGAAGGGATTCTAGAGAGCACAGTGATAGGGAAGGGCACGTTCAGAAAGGGACTTGGAAGGGGGAGGGCTGAGGTGGTTGCTGATGCTTAACAGGAAAGTAGTAGCCCCAGCAGAAACCTAGTGAGCTTTTACCTATAAATCACTGATACTGAGAAGGGAAGGGGAGGAGTATTTACTAGTTATTGAACTATATAGATGTCTCACTCTTCCCAGTAGCAATGGTGGATGTGCCACTGGACCTAAATGTTATATTAATTTTATTTGGTGAAATGGGGTAGGAACCTCTGGTTCTAGAAAGAACTTAGTTGCCAGGTTGCTTGGGGGTAAATGGAGTCCATGTGGCAATCTGTTACCTTACTGCTCCTACAGCTGAGGCATAGTTGATTTACCTGTCTTCCATAGGTAGAGGTAACTCTGTCCTCGTCCCCTGTTGGGACAGTGATTTGATTATCACATTTGATTTCACACACTGGGAAAGTGTGTGAAACTCTGGTCCTGGACCAGCTACACTGGGCAGATAGGGTCCTGGCGGCCAGATCTCAAGGGGCATAACATTCTCAGTGGCTGTAGAAAGCTAAGGCACAATTGATTTGCTCACAGTCCCATTAGCATCTAGAATAACTTTTCCTCAGGTAACTACTGTCATTTGAGAACCAGCTTAAGTCTGGGTAGGCTTGTCAACAGAAAGCTGAGTATCAAATGATGGAATTTGTTTTGCCTTAGCAAATAATGAAAGATAATTCACTGAGGCATAGAAGGTTACAGTCTACTTTCAACAGGGTGGAGTGCCAGTACTGATGCAATCTTGGATTTGTTAAAGTATATACTAATATAAATGAACTTCTGTGACATACTCTGCAGGTAGTACTTATCATTCATCCTGTGTTCTTTCCTTCTCAGGAAACGATGCCCCCTCCAACCCATACTGCATTCTCTGGTCATCATCTGCCATTTGTTGGTTTTACATATACTAGTAGCTGGTAAGTTTGAAATGTTTAAAAAAAAAGTTTTACTAGGTTAAAAGCAAAGTGATATGAATTTAAGTTTTAAAAATCTAAGATGATCTACTGGAAATCCTTCTAATTTGAAAAATGTTGGTGATATAACAGTATCTTAAAGGTTTTATTGTTTAATGGATTAACTCAGTTTCAGTATTTATCTCAGTCTTCTCACAGAAAAGTTTGGGTAGATATTTTTAAATTTCTTAAAATGTTTGGACGTACTTCTAATTCATTTGTTAATTTATTAAAAATCTATAAGGAAAATTTGCATTGAGGTTAATGAATGTTGAGAGTAGAGGGTTTTAATGAGTTCTTAATAAAATTTCTCCCTCTTCACAACAGATATAGTGCATAACCTACAATTATCTCCACTGTATCTTATCCCATCATATGTTGTTTCCTATTAACTGTAGGTTCATAGTAAAACTGACTCTACCAATTCCTTTCTTTGCCTTTCCAAGGAGAAATTGTGGACTTTCCTTCCATTTTGCTACAGCTTGATTTTTTTTCCCCCTTCATTTTGTTTATTGGGAGAATGTTAAGATTGATATGATTCAGTTCCTCCAGCTCTATGTTTCACTCTTTGGCTGTTGAACAGTGTGATCTCACATTCAGAGAACCAATAGTCGTGTTATATTTTATACTCAATACTCAAATGTATCCCGTAATCTCATTGACTCAATTTTCTTCAACCGTGCAAATCACAGCCCAGCTGTAACCCACCCATCCTATAGTACTCTTGTCCATGTTATTTCAAAAATCCATCCCAGGGTGTCTGCTGAGCATAATGGAGGCCCTCCTTGCTTTACCCTAACGTTACAAGAGTATCAATACCTCAAGTATGACTTTAGATATATACCTGTTATCCCTCATTCTTGCCATCTGACCAGCCAGTCTTACCTTTTTAAGCTTATAGGTGCTCTAAAAACTGTTTCTTGTCATCTTCTTATGCCTTTTCTGCTTCTCTGCCACTGCCTCTGTTGAATCAGAAAGGGCCTGCACAGTATTAGGGACTGTTATGTACTTTATTTTGTTTCATGGATTGTTATGAATAAAAAGTTCATTATCAAGTACTTAGGCAGTACATCAGAAAACAGACTTTGTCTTGTGTTAGGTCCATACTCTAAGCCTTTCCATTGCAAGCATAGTAGAACCCATTGGATCTTGCACTCAGCAGGCAAAGCCTTTGAGAACCCAAAGTTACATCTATGCCACAATGATGCATTTGACTAGGGCTTTTGTAGAAGTGACTATTAAATCAACATTTTTACAGGGTGTCCTAAAAGTCTTAATGCAGTTTTAGGTTTTTAAAGCTTTGTACGTTCTGTCCTTGATGACTTATGAGTGTAGAAATATATTTCATCCAACAGGAATTAAGGGAGAGATTAGTCAGAAGCAAAGCAAACTCTTAAAGATGGGACAAGAAACAAAGAGAAGGAAAAGCATAAGAGAAGAGGATGGAAGAAAATACGTAATTAACAATCATAACTATGACAATTAAATAACTAATAAAATGGAAAAGGATAGTAGAATGGATTCAAAACAAAATCTAACAAAATGTTGATTATAAGAAACCCATTTGAAGTAGAAAATAAACACAGGGTTTAAATAAGGTACTCGAGCAGAATCTATTACGCTTCAGCTGAAATGAAAAAGGAAGGGGTAGCAATTATGATTTCAGATAATACAATAGCAAAAAATAAAAAAGACCCAATTAAAAGAGATAAATAGGGAAACTACATTTTGCTAAAATGTACCGTACCAATGCTTCTTAAACTGTGGGTATTGATAATGAAAATAAATACTGTGCAGAGAAAAATAATTTCATACAGAAGTTTACTCGTCCCCATATGGATATAGGATCTTATCGATTTGAATATTCTCTTTAGTAACAAAGATAGCAACCTAATCATGCTGGTCCTTCTGTGGAACTCTTTTCCATGTCCTTCCATAAGTTTGCCAAGAGAGTCTCTAGACATTGGGAGACCATCTTTATTTTTTCCTGACAACACAAAATATCAGTGAAGTGCCACTTGTCACTGTAAAAGAAGTGTGATATATATTGGAAAGAACATTGGCTTTGGAAACAGAAAACTGCCTTTCTAAATCATCAGTCTGTCTTCCTTTTTCTATTATATATTTCCCTGACTTTTACTCCAGTTCTTCTTTAGAGTTTCTCTTTGTTTATATGTTGTAGCCTTATTAATACTGGAAAAATGTGACCAAGAAGTCATTAAGACTTACTATATTATATGCCTACTTTCCCATTGATGTGAAATTTTTATGAAAATTATTCATAGACAAGCTTTCAGAAGCAGTGTTCCCTAGAAAATCACATCTTCATCATCAGACCATTGACCAAAAGATGTAAAGATTGAAAGATCTTATTACTTATTGTTTATCACAAAAAATATTGGACATAGTAGAGCAAAATATCGTCTTAAAAGCTGTATTCCAACAATGTGGCTCAGAATTATTCAAGATTTCTTTTTTATTATTATTATTATTTTTATTTATTTTGAACTTAAATACAAAAAGACCAAAAAAAAAAAAAAAAACCAAACCCCAAACCATTTCCATGTTACACAGCACCAAAAAAGAGGATTCAATATAAACCCATAAATTTCCATTTCACGGTTTACTTTTTTTTTAAAGTTGTGTAATGAATATTACACATTGTTCTTAAAGCTACCCTGCTTTTCTATTCTTCCTTTAAGGGTTTTTTTTTTCCTACTGTGCATTTTTTTCTCTTCCCTCCTCTTACCCTAGAGAAGGCTACCATTAGACACAAATGTGTGTGTGTGTGTGTGTGTGTGTGTGTGTGTGTGTGTTTGTGTATATATAATACCGTACTATACATACTTCTGTTTATTAGTTCTTTCTCTGGATATGGATAGCATTTTCCTTTTTAGGTCCTTTGTAATTGATTTAAGTATTTATAATACTCAAAATGACTTAGTTCAAACCTGTTCTTAGAACAATATTGCTGTTACTGTGTACAACATTCTCTTGGTCCTGCTCATTTTACTCTTTCTTATTTCATGCAAGTATTTCCATGTTTTTCTAAAATCAAGCAACTCATCATTTTTATAACAGAGTAGTATTCTCTTACAATCATATATCACAACTTGTTTAGCCATTCCCCAGTTGATGGCCTCAATGTCCATTTCTTTGCCACCACAAAAAAAAAAAAAAACAAAAAAACAAAAAACAGCCCAAACCAAACAAACAAACAAACAAACAAAAAACTAGAAAAATTTTAGGACATACAAGTTCTTTTCCTTTTTTCTCTAATCACCTTGGGAAACAGACCTAACAGTGGTATTGCTGGGTCAAAGGGTATAGGCAGTATACTCTTTGAGTATAATTCCAGATTGGTTGGATCGGTTCCACCAACAGTGAATTAGTGTTCCAGTTTTCCAAATTCCCTCAGACATTTGTCACTTTCCCCTTCTATCATTTTAGCTGATTTCATAGATGTAAGATGATATCTCAAAGTTATTTTAATTTGCATTTCTCTAATCAATAATTATTTAGAGCATTTTTTCATATGACAATATATAGTTTTGATTTCTTTATTGAAAAACTGCCAGTTTATATCCTTTCACCATTTATCAATAGAATAACACTTATTCTTATCAATTTGATAAAGTTCTTTATATATTTGAGATATGAGACTATCTATATGTCTATAAAATTTTTCTCCCAATTTTCTGTTTTCCTTCTAACTTTGGCTACATTAGTTTCATTTATTACAAAACCTTTTAACTTAGTATAATCAAAATTATCCATTTTATACTTCACACTGCCTTCCTCTTTCTTGTTCATAAATTATTCTTCTATCCACAAGTCTGATAAGTAATGTGTTCCATGGTCTTATAATTTTCTTTTATCTCCCTTTATATCTAAGTCATGTATTCATTTTCACCTCATCCTGTTAAATGATATAAAATATTAGTCTATGCCCAATAATCTGCCAGATTGCTTTCCAGTTTTCCCAACAATTTTTATCAAATAAATGTTTATCCCAAAAGCTTAAATCTTTATATTTGTCAAACTCAAGTTTACTATAATGTTACATTTGCTACTGTGTATTGTATGTCTACTCTGTTCCACTGATCTACCTTTCTGTTTCTTAGACAGTACCAGATAGTTTTGATAATTACTGCCTTCTTGTATAGTTTAAGATTTGGTACTGCTAAGCCTCCTTCCTTTACAATTTTTTTCATTAATTCCTTAGATATTCTCAACCTTTTGGCCTTCCAGATGAATTTTGTTATTATTTTTTTCTAGCTCAGGAAAAATTTTTTAGGGGGAATTTAATTGGGATGGCATTGAATAAATTGATTAGTTTAGATAAAATTGTCATTTTTATTATATTGGCCCTGCTTACCCATGAACAATTAATATTTTTCTAATTATTTAAATCTGACTATATAAAAGTGTTTTATAATTATGTTCATGTAATTCCTGGGTTTGTTTTTGAAAGGTATTCTCGTATTTTATGTTGTCTACAGTTATTTTAAATGGGGTATCTCCTTCCCTCTCTTCTTGCAGGATTTTGTTGGTGGTATATAGAAATGCCGATTATTTATGTAGGTTTATTTTATATCCTGCTACTTTGCTAAAATTGTTAATTGTTTCCACTAACATTTTAGTTGAATCTTTAGGATTTCCTAAGTATATCATCATATCATCTGCAAAAAGAGATAGTTTTGTTACCTCATTGCCCATTCTGATTCCTTTGATTTTTTTTTCTTCTCTTATTGCTGTTTCTAGCATTTCTGATACAATATTGAATGATATTGGTGACAATTAGCATCCTTCTTTCCTGATTTTATTGGGAAGGCTTCTAGCTTATTCTTGTTACAAATAATGCTTGCTGATGGTTTTAGGTGGATGCTTCTTATCATTTTAAGGAAAAATCCCTTTATACCTATGCTTTCAAGTGTTTTTAATAGGAATGAGTATTGGATTTT